TCTGTTTTATATTTGAAATACTTTTGTTGTTTTAGTTTATTTCTTAGTTATTTTAGTTATTTTTATCTTAGTATTAGAAATACAACTTATATTTTTTTTAAACACATTTCTTAACCACTCATTCACATTAAGTCAAGTAATATTCTTGCTTGATTTGACTGGCGATGACCTATTTATTAAACAAATATTTAGAATCTAGTTAGATTAAGCAACCATATTACAGTGACCTGGAAAATTCACTTTTCTGGTACCTATTAAAATTTTCTAGTTGACCAATAGGTCTCTACTATAATTTCACACTTTTCAGATCTTTTCTAAACAAGTTAGAAATCACAAAACGGAAAAATTTTTTCCAAAAAACCTAGTTCTAATAATTTTAAATATACTTAAATTTAGGTACTATTATAGACTACAATAGGTTATATAAGCTGCAATAACCATAGCAGTCCTAGTAATATATTTAAAAAATATATATTACTCTTGTAATATTATTATTCCTAATTTATTTCAAAAAGCAAACAAACAAATTTATTCTTTAAGCTACCTTAGCTATATTACAATATGCCTACGCTTATAACTTCCGAATCAGACTCTGTCGATCTTGACTATTTTTATAAAAAATTTGCAAAAAGTTTTGGTATTGGAGTATATGAAGAGACTCCACTTACCTCTCACCCTATTTCTACTGGTAAGCAACCAAACAATTGTTTTAATATCGAACTCAGAGGTAACACTAAATGCTGTCACTATATTAAAGTTCTTGCAACTAGTAGCATTGTTACTTATATTTGTAGCAAGTTTCATACTAATTTTCTTTCACAAAAAAATCTAACATATGAACAAAATGAATTTGGACAACCTACTAAAAATCGAAAGACAAAAAACAAATTGCAACAAACATTGCTAATTCTACTGAATTCATTCCAGCATTTTCTAGCTCATCTCCTTCACTATCTACATACCAACATATTTGTTCTACTTGCAACCAACCTATTACTTGTAAACTAACCAACAACAAGCATTATTTGGCAAATGATGCCTTGCTTTTTAATGACAAACTATACCATAAATCCTGTATCGAAAATCAACTTAATTCCCAACAAGGTTCTTCCAAAAAAATTTAACAAAAATCCTCAAACAATACCACTCTATTTGCTAATAAACTCTGACAAACACTACTAAACAACAATCGCAAAACACAATTACTAAACAATAACCTCAAAACCTACTTATTTCCCAACTTGATCCTCTTACACTACTCAATGACAACCAAAATGATGGAAATGTTGACATGGATATTAATAATACTACAACAACTACAAAACAACAACAACAACAACAACAACAACAACAACAACAAAAACAACAACAACAACAACAATAACAACAACAATCTCAACAAAACCAATTTCTGCTTCCTAATACCAAAATCAAAGCTAACCTAACATTTGATTGGCTAACTAAAAACATATATTATATAATCCTTTTACAAGTAAGCAACATTAAATGTAATTGCAAGAATGTATATAATAAAAATCATTGTAAATGTAAAAAAAGTAAATTGCCTTGTGGTAGTAACTGTCATCCTAATAACCATAAATATAAAAACTTTTATAATGATTTTAAATTTAATTAATTTGAATGCATTGCATTGAGTAAAACTAATCTTAAATCAACTTAAATTTTAAAACAATGTACTTGATAAAATAGTTTAGAATCTACTTAATTTTACTATAAGTTGAATTTAAATTCTTTAACAACTCAAGTGCTATTTAGAATTCTATTACAAACTATGTTTATCAGAATCAACCTAAGTGGATTTCAAAGCTACAATAATTCCATTCCGACATACAATATATATAATTTTAAAATAATGTCCTACCCGTAATTAGGGTTGGATCAGTCCAGTTTGGTCAGTTTCAGTTTCTAATAAAACTGGTTTCATAACTATCGGTCTTGTCTAATTGGTTTTTGATCTCAAAAATAAACCATTTTTATATCAAAAATAAACTATTTGTTTATCATTTTTAGATGCAATAATGGTTTTTACCTATTTAAAAGTCAATATTATTAACCGTCCTGAAATGATTAAAAGACTGAAAACTGAAAGATTTTAACCGGTTAAAAAGACTGGTTTTTATTCAGTATTCTCAGAACCGATCCAACCCGATTCTTGATATATTAACCTATGTAAATCAAATATATTATACTTAAATTGATAAATCTTTTATTTAGTTTTAGAATTAAATCACCAGTATTCTTAAATTTATAACAATAAATAAAATAAAACCAAAAATATTTATTTAATATTTAGAAATATAAACGATATTATAAATTCTTGCTAGGGATAGTTTCAGATCACATTTTTATTAATATTATCCCTTAGAACCTTCAAACTTTGATCGATGAGAACCTATATACAAATATGTAAAAAAATGATGGGAAAAAAAATGCACAAAAAATAATAAATTAAGACTTACAGACAAAGCTATCATTCTACCAATTAAAATTTTAAGCTTATAATAATCTGTAATACTGGATGGAACTTCAATTGTGAAAATTTCTTGCATTATAACATATCGATCAATAGATATCATTCTTTTAATTACAATATCAAACCCTTCTGTTAATGCACCAAAGATTTGAAAATCTTTAGGTAATAAACGCCCTTTTTTTTCCTCTTGAGCAACAATATAATTTATATTGTTTCGCATTTGTTTACTTAATTTGGCAAAGTCATTGTTGACCTTTTTCTGAATCTTATTTGTCGAGCTTCCAACAACCTTTAAAGTAAAGATTTCATAATTCAATTCATTTTGCACTGTAAAGTCTGGTCTAGTTCCATTTACAAATTCTTGAGAATTTTGGAGATTATTATTATTTGATGGTATTGATGCTGGATTCCTATAGAGAAAATTTGGTATAATTTCTCAAATAATTGCAGAATAATAGAATGTACATTACTTACCAACTAGTATAAGAACCATCGATATCTGTCAATATATCGATACATGATTCTAAAATCTCTGTACAAAATTTTAATTCAGACATTTTTAACGAAAAAAAATTTTCCTTTCGGAAATTTTTAAGACTATTCAGTTTATTATTTCAATAAATTAGAGAATTTAAAGGTCAGTTTTCTAATCATTAGATTAATTTGATAAGTTTTTAATAATAAAATCTGTATAATACATTACAATTTTTGTACAGTACTAAAAATGAAAGTAATTTGGCACTCTTTTGAAGTTTTAATTCCCAAATTTGCCAATTTCCGTTTCTGTTCCACTTCTTCAAATATACTTTCAGCATTAAGTGTCTAAATTTTATTATATATGATTAAAAGTATCAAATAAACAAAGAAAAGAAGTACATTAATGTTACCTCTTTACTATTAAAAATAGAAAATATATCATCTAAATGTTCATTGACCTCTTTATCTAATTCTACATTTACGGGTGGAAACAAATTGCACAAAAAACGAATTTCATTTTTTTGCAATAAGTTACTTAATCGATTAATATCCAAAATATATTCCTTGATAAATCTTTTTTTTTTAAAAAAAAAATTAGAAAAATGAATCGTTAACAACCACTTTTATAAAATCAAAAGTACCTATCATCTTCCACCTTTTTACGCAAACTATACCATAATTTGAAAATAGCAGTACTTTGTTTTGAAGGAATGACAACAGTTACAGAATAGCTATTTAAAATATGGCTCGCTTTTCTACGACATCTTACAGGAAAATTATCACTTTGACTAATCGCTCTCAAGGAGTTTATCCAAATTGTTTCGCTACATTTTTCAGCTGTCATGAATGTTTGAAACCCATCATAACTCCAATCATTTACATCAAAATTTTCAAAATATTCATTCGCTTCTGGCATTCTAAAAATAACAAAATATAGTAAGAATAATGCATATAAATTTTGATTTCTATTAATTTATTTATATAATTTTCTCGAAAATTGAATAATAAGCTATTGCACAACGTTCTTTAAGCTCAACTAAACTGCTGCACAGTGCTCTTTGAATTTTTAAATGAATTGAACGAGTAGAATACTAAACTGTTACGCAGCGTTATTAAACTGCTGCATAACGTTCCTCAGCCTAACGGACGAAGCATCAAATAATAATCATCATTTACCTAACAAACGTAATATACCAAGAACAAGTTCAACAGAGTGTATGATTTAAAGGCAAATAACTATGAAATCTCGAATTCTATTGGGCAACTATACTTGCTGGCAAAACCCAGACAAATCCAAAACCCCCAAAACAAATTGCTTTTATAAAAAATATATTATATATAAGAATATATATGATTTGTTTAAATAAAGATTATTAATAAAGTCTTTGAGATACAGTATTAGTTTGGGCTTGAGTTTGGGGATTTGGGCGCGGACAAACCCGAACGACAAGTATATGGGAGACGTGATCACTGCATGGCATACTTTTTGGGTTATAACTATAAAATAAGAACCGCAGTTACATTATATAAATTATTCAAATTCTGACAAATTATTCTTGATGTAACCCTTATTGGATTAAATCTCGCAAAGTAGTGTGGTAATCAAAAAATCGAGCAGGTATAAATAATCATACGATACTCTTAAATTAATTGCCGAAAATAGCAAAATATGACGATAACAGATATATTTGTCAAATCTAAAAGCTAAGCACAGCAACAAGAATTTAACCAGCATAAGCATATCGTGTATGCGCAGAAAATCAGCAGATTTCGCTAACAATTTTGAAAAATATGATCGATAAGCGAACAGGCATGATTGCTGAAAAAAGGTAGTATTAGCATATTGATATTTATTCAATATAAATAAATATTTTCGTAGTCATCACGTCACATGATTAAGCTCTCGGCCTAAGTTAGGATTAGGTGATAGTATAATTTAGGCCGATTTGCTTAATGCTAGTAAACAAATGATGTAATTATGGTTGCGATTATACCAGTATAATAAAAATGCTCATTATAATACCAGGTATTATATTGTATTATACCATATAGTATGATATAATAAAATTTATATATAAAAAAAAATTAAATATAATATTTTATATATATAATAAGCACTTTTTTTGATGTTAAGGTGAGGCCTTGTTTTTATCTTTATTAGTAATTTTTGTTGTATATATTAATATACTATATATAAGATATACTAAGATTATATAATATAAAATAAAAATTACATGCAAGGATTAAAGCTTATTTGCAATCTAAACTAACTAGAGTGATTAAAATTCATTTAGTTTTGTTATACTTATATAAATCTAAGTGGATTTGATCTATATTGTATAAGTACTTTATAAGGAATTTATAAAGTATAGATAATATATAATTTATTTAATATAGATATAAGAAATTATTAGTTGTTTATATAAATATGTTAATTTTAAATAAGATAATAAAATAAAAATTATGTTAATATAATAATTGTATTATAAAAATAAAATAAAATTTGTTAATATTATTATTATTTAAAATTGAGTTTTTTTTTATTTTTAGAAGAATTTTGTAAAGATAGTACTAGTTAGGAATCTAAAAAAAAAATTAATATTTCTGATATTTTAAATTAAGAAAAAAAAGATCTGTAAAAATTTTTAATATATTAAATTTTTTAGAGATATATTATATTGCTTGTAATAAGTATATTTAATAGTATTTAAATTAAAGTTCAGAAATTAGAATGTTAGAGAATTATATAATATTAAAATATACTATTATTTAGGCAAAATATGTAAATCAGTTGTTTTAATAAAGGTATTTTAAAGAATATTTTAAGATTAAGATTATTGATATTATTATTTTTAATTATCAAATTAAAGTAGTATTTAATATAAATGTAATAGAAAAAAGATTTATATTTGAGATTTGTAAATGTATTATTAAGTTATATAAATTGTTGTTCAACAATTTGTGTAAGTTGTTTAAAAATTTTAAATAAAAAAGATTTGATAAAAATTGTAACTAAAGATAAGTTTTGTTTAAAGATAGAAAAATCTAAATTTGAATAAATATAGTTATAAGAAATAGGAAAAAATTTAAAAGAGTTTTAAAAACAAATAAATATTTACAACTTTTTCTAATGATTCTCTGGTCAACAACAACAAAAAACTGAACTACAAAAAAATATTATAGCAAGGTCAAGAAAGAAAATACTTCTGGTTCTATATGAAATAAGTTATTATTAATGAAATCAAAATAGATATAAAATACTAAGAAGCGGGCATATTTGCAGTTATTTAAAGAAAGGTTAAACTTTTCTTCTTGGTTGACTCTTTTCTCTATTCAGCATTCAAACTAAAAAGATATTCTAGAAACAATTATAAAAAAACCCAAATTAGAATTATTAGAAACTTGAAGCAACTACTATATAACTGTAAAACTTACTTGAAAAACTATATATAAAAATTGTTACCCTTTACTTTTTTTTGAAGAAAATTTTATAAAAATAAATGATTTAGTTTATCTTCCTCAAAAGATCAATATGTAAAATCACCAAAACAGTTATTAGTATTTATTTATTAAACAGAATTAGTATCAGTATAGATTAAAAACAATACAATAATATAAACAAAACTTATATATATGTTTTGAATTACTGAAATCTTATAAAATACTATTTTTAAACTAATCAATAACTCATGTTGACTCTTTATATTCAAGTCAAAGTTTTATTTTATATAATTTTTATTAAATATTCTAAATAAATAGAAAAATAATAGAATTAATTCTATTTAATATAGTTTATAATTTTTAAAAACCTGATATAGGCTTATAATTGTGACTATTTAATAGTTATATAATAAAATTCATATATATATTTTTTTTTACTTTTTTTACTTTTCTTCTTTCTACTTTTATTTCTTGTGTTGTATCTTTTATTATTTTTTTTTATACTTCTGTTTTTTTTATATATAAGTTTTTTTTGTTTTTGTTCATTTCTCTACAAGAAGATATTATTAGATTGGCAACATCCTATTGTAGAGCAATAATCAGATGTGGTCCTTGGCATACTCTAATTTCTTATAAACAGCCAGTACAAGCAGATTACTCATAAGGTTTGTAAAAGTATCTGTAGAATGTTAAGCCAAAATTTATACAAAGTTTGTACATATATATGCAAAAAATCATAATAAAGATGAACTAACAAGACTGCTCAAGTAAAGAAAAAAAAAAAAGAATTTTAAAAATTAAAGAAGATCAAGTTATAAAAGATATATAAAATATTATAAGGAAGAATATTATATTCATTGTTTTTACATATATATAAAGGGTATGGCAACTTAGTGAAGTGGATAAGTTGTCAAACCTTCAAGTAGTAGGTTGTGAGTTCAAAACCCATGAATGGTAAAAATTTGGATAATCACTTAATAATATTTATATTATGACAACTGTTCCTAATGATTGGGTTAAGATATCTGTAATTATAGTCACACTAGTATGACTGGCAGGTCATGAGACATCTGTATAACTGGTTATACAGAGGAATGCAAACTGGCATCGGGCAGTACAAACCCAAAATAAGTCCTTGTGATTGTGTAAATCAGTAGAAATTGGAAAACAAGAAGCCTACTTGGGAAGACCCAAGTAGAGAGGTAACACAAATCTTTGACAGTACTACTGTAAAGGCTAGACCTAGGAAACATATACCAATGTGAAGTACCTAAATGGGCAAAAACCTCTGGATAGGGGGTATCACCAACCAGGCTGCCAGAAGTCCAATCGGAAGAACTGGAAGAAAAGGATATCAGGCTGACCTGATATACCAATAGGCTGGTCGTAGTTCTATCAGGCTATCTGGATTGAAAGTTTGGAGAAAAAGCAGGGGTATACTAAAAGTACTAGGGATATGCTGTGAAGTAAGTGCTGGGGTCTAAGTGAACTCTGCAAGGGCAAGCTCTGTTAATGTTCTGTAGAGTGAATAGGTAATTAACAAGAGGGCCTCTGGAGCCTTATAGTCAGGTGTCATGCTCTGAAAATAATTGTGTAACAGCTTGACAGACGTACAGAAGGGAGGCTAAATGTTGGGTTAGATGGCACTTAGATGTACAGGAACTGAGATGCTAATTGCCTGAGTGCAGTATAGGAATCAGAGTGTTTAATTAAATAGTCTTCTAGTAGATTATAGGTATGGCAGCTAGTGTAGAACCCTTGGGTGGACTACTTAAATAGGTAACCAAAAGTTACATGTGTGGCTAGTTGTATGCTCATTCTGTACAAGTAATATATAATATATTCACTAAAAACACAATAAAAGCATTAGCTATCATTAATATTGGCCTTTAAATAAAATAAAATAAAATAAAATAAAATAAAAAAAAAATAAAAAAAACATATATATATATAGTTTAATAAAGCCTTAATTGAACTATTATTTTTTTTTATAATAAATTTATTATAAAAACTTTAAAAAGAGTCTTTTAAGTTTAATTGTAAGAAAAATAATGATTTGATATTTAATAAAATTGTAAACTTTTTATTTATTAATATATGAAAATTGTTTTTTACAAAAATTAAAGAATTTTAAAAATCATTTATCAAGTAATTTTTTTTTTTTTTGGTATTAAGGTGAGGCCTTGCTCATATCTTTATTAATAGTTTTTAAAATTAGTAACTTTATGGAGTTACTATGTACAGAAATATTTCTATATATAAATGCTATGGCCAAGGCCAACACTTGCAGTTAGGGCTAATCATT